TAGGAAAAAAAAAAAAATGATTTTTGTCTGTTTCCTGAGCTAGTCTAGACTAGTCTAGACAACTAGTCTAGACCAGACATCCCAGAGCCTTCTGAGCTTGGGATGACGGTTGAGGATATCAAGGTCTACACCTATCTTTGACACTGACCCCATAAGAGATGAGAGCAATGGGTCGCAGACCCAGCCTTCCTGCCAGGACCAAGCGACCAACAGGGAGGGAATTCAGCCAAGAGAAAGGACAGGCCATCCTACAACTTACTTCTCTGGGACTTCCAGGCTTGCACGATTGTTTTATATGTGCGAAGATGAAGCGGAGTTCTCTACCTCTGTGTGTGTTCATGCCCTCTCTTCTCTCCTGCTCCCGTCCTGTCTGTCCTGGAGTCTGGCTCTGTTCAGTCAACAAAGCAAGAGCAGTTTCCTCTGCACACATTACCCACATCATTTACTGCTGGAAATTCTCTTCCCTCTTCTGCTGAATGAAATTGCAAAAGTGAATGACCAATCAGAAAGTCAACCTCTTTCCTAGATCTGAAAAGAGGTATCTTCTTTTATGTTGAAAAAGTGGAAAGATAAGACAACAGTTCTCTCCTTTCCCAATCAATTCCCGTCCTTCTTCCCACCCCATTCCTGTATTCTATAGAAGGCAACCTCAATTGGTAAGGCTTCCGATTGAGGTCTTGGCCTCTGTGCTAAGGAAGCCAACCAGTGCCTGGCAACGCCCAGTCTGATGTGGACTGGCCAGAGAGCTGCGACCATCACTTCATTTCACATAAACCATGAAGCAGCCAGCAAATGGCCAGTCGTTAGACACTTCGTCACTAGTGACCTAGCCGGGATTCGAACCTGTGACTTCTAGGCAAAGGGTTTTATGTTGCAATATTAATGCCTGAAGGGTCTAGGGGCTCTCAAAATCTTTACTTTTTAAATTACCACTTTGTACTTAGTCTCAGAGGGAGAAGAGATAATGAAAGAAGAAATGAACACCTGATGTTCGTAAGGGAAAGAGGAAAAGTAGCAGAGGGAAAACTTGGTCTTACATGACTCAGTGGATGAAGCTGTTGCTTTTTAAAGCACAGTACCATCTGAAAGGTGGGTGCCTCTCACAGCCACTCTGCAGTGCTATTTGAAACACTTGCCTTGGCCTTAGCTCTGCTTCATTGATTGTTTTCATTTGCCTGCTTAACAACCAGGGGTGTCTATACCTTTGTAAGAAAACCACTTTCCTGAACAGAACTGTGGTCATGAAAGTTAATTCTTTTATCCCCCAAAAACATCTCTCCAGAGTTTAAGTCCACTGCTTCATTAATTCATTCTACCCAGCCTGAGGTTGAGAGTAAATACCGTTGTGCCCATTTTACAGATACAGAAGGTAGGGACGTCAAAGGCTTAAAGCAAATTTTGTTCTGTTTCCACAAATCAAGAAATACAGTCTTAGCAATCAGATAATTCTGGATTTCCCTCTAAGCTTTGTCATGTACAAACCTTGTGACCTCAGGAAAGTTATGCATTCTAAGTTTCCATTTCCTTAACTGTGAATAAGGAGAATAAAAGGAATTTTGCGAGGGTGAATAATACATGCAAAGACCATTGCACAGAGGCCACCCGCACAGGGCTGCTGCTTTGCAAAACTCCAGGTGGCTACACTGACGTTCATATAAAATAATGTGAGTAATGCCCCTTCGAGGTGTGCAACTCAACAGCCATGCTAGCCATAAGCAGACACACAGCACTTCCTCAGTAAGTATTAGCCATCATTGTTAGTTTGGAAGTTTTTCTTCTGGCAACAGCAGAGGAGGTGGCTCAGATCAGCCTGCTCTTTGACCACAAGATAGCATGTGAAAAGCAACATCAGCTTGAGGACATTGGAAAGTTACCAAGGCAGTGAAAAATCACATTGCCAGGATCCCAGAGAGAACAGAAGCCCGCTAAGGCAGCCTCTCCCCCTGGGACGGTAGTTTTCGAAGAGTGGGTACCAAACAAACAGCCGCACCTGGGAAATTGTTAGAAATGTGAACTCTGAGGCTCTGCCCCAGATCTACTGAATCAGAACTCCAGGGTGAGGCTCAGCAATCTGTGCTTTAACAGACCCTCTAGCTGATGCGGATGTCCCCTAAGGTTTGAGAACAACAAACCTACAGGTACCTATAATTCTGAAAGCACGGCTGAGAGTCTGGGAAGCTGGGCAGGGATTTTGATAATCTCAAGGGTCTGAGGAGTCAGACATTAGAGTTCAAGGCCTGCCAAGAAGAAAAAGTCTCGGTAAACACCCCAGGATGTTAGTTGGGACCCCAAGGACCACACCCAAGAAATAAAACTGAACTGAAAATATACGAGCTGTCACAGGGACTCAAGTTTCTTATCATCTCAATTCCTGATTGGATGAAGGTGGCCTGTAATTACTAGTGCCCTTGTCCCAGCTGCCTGCCAGTAACAATGGCAAATCTTCTCTTAAGGAAGAAAACATCATTCCATGTCTCAAATTTTGTCTATCAAACATTCAATGAAAAATGGCTTAAAACAATAAAAACAAAAAAGAAAAAACTAAAAAAACTAAAAACAAAAAAAACCCAAAACAACAACAAAAAAGCAAACAAAAATAGCTGAGCACTCACTTGTGTCTTGCTCTCTTACCTCACTAGCCCTGGGGAAGCCAGCTGCTGTGCCAGAGGACTCTCAAGTGGCCCTGTGGAGAGTTGACATGCTAGAAACACTGGCCTTGGCCTTCTCCCAATAGCCAGAGGAGTGAGCTAATATGGGAAGGGATCCTGCAGCTCTAGTCACGCCTTGGGATGGATGGCCACAGCTCTGGCTGACATCTGGGTCCAAGCTCCTGGGAGGGCCCTAACAAGAACTGCCCAGCTGAGCTCCTCCTAAATTTCTGACCCACAGAAACTGTGAGATAATAAATGTTTAATGTTTAAAAAAAAAAACAACTAGACACTCAACCAAAAATACTAGGCATACAAGGAGACAAGACATAACCAGCAACCAAGATTAAAAAAAAAATAGGCCATATAAACAAACCCATAGGTGATCGAGTGTTTGGACGTAGAGTTAAAAATAAGTATGTTTCATTGCTCAAGGGATCATTATTTTTCACTCTAAATTTAACATCACTTACCTCAAACAGACCATCGGTGCTGTGCAACGATCCATATGTGTGTCTCAGTCACCCAATCTCTTACTTTCTATAACAGTACAAGTCATCTCTGTGCTATTCCCAACTCCTTGCTTACCCTTCACTTTCAGCAGATGGTCTCATCCATTTAGCACAGAAAACTGAGGCCATGCAACAATAGCCAGGAAACACTGGCTTCTGATCTACACATCAACATCTAAGCTTTCTTTCTCTCTTTTTATGATTGAGGAGCTGTTCATCCTCTTACCTAAAGTTGATTCTTTGGCCTGCAGTTTACTACTCATCTGCTTTTTAGGTTCCTCTTCTTAGGAACCTTACACTATCAATTATTCTTTTTCTTTCACACATGCATACTCTCCTCGAGCAAACCCTTCCCAATGATTTGTTAAATCATCTAAGTCACACTTAAAAATACTTATAAAATTCAGTCCTGTCTCTGTCTGCCTTCCCTTCACAGAAAAATTTCTGGAAGAATTTTTTCTTAAACCTACCGTTTCCTTTGTGTACCACCTCTCACCCAGTACTCAAATCACTCCTTCAAGCTGGGCTTCAGCCCCATCTCCTCAGTGACATGGGCTCAGAGATTGAATTAAATGAATATCTTTTATATCGCTTCTTCCCTGCCTTGGCAATGACCCACAGAGTTGAGCACGCGTCTCTTCCCTAAGCTCTTCCTCCTAGCTTCCATCATATTCTCCTGGTTTTACTCCTATCTCTGTCATTTTTCATTGTTATTCTCCTTTTCAGACAGATTCCTCTTTATCTGACCATTAAACATTAGAATTCTGCATGTCTTGGTCTTTGGCTCTATTTTCTATATACTTTTCCCAAATAAGCTTCATCCAACCTTATAGTTTTATAATAATTACCATATCCAGCCAAGACTACCTATCTGTACTCAAGACCCATACTGGATCTTCTTTTCTACGTCTAAAACCTCATCTCAGGCTCAACGGGTCCAAATTATCTTTCTTCCAAAATATAGTCTTCTTCAAGGGCTTCTTCTCTCAGTAAATGACCCTATCTAGTCATACATGCTGAAAACCTAGATGTATCCTTGACACCTCCTATACCACCCCCATCCCACCCATGACTGAGCTCTGTTAATTATCTTCTAAATATCTCTCCAACATGCCTCCTGCTCTCTGTGTCTATCTCTGCCACCCTCATCCAAACTGCTGGCATCAGTCTGACCTCCTGCCAAGCTTTCCCATTTTTTTTAAGACAAAGACCAAACTCCTTAGGGTCACCTTTGAAGTTCCGCATGCTTTGGCCGCTACCTAGCTAACTTCATCTCCAATGTCACTTTATCTCCTTCTCCAGCCACTCTGGACTCCTTTAATCCCACTGTACTTGCCATGTCCCTCTCCCATGACATGGAGAGGGACATATCCTTGGCATGCCCTAGGATATTCTTTCCTGCCCCCACAACCAGTTAATAACAATTCATTCCTCAGATCCCAGCTTGATTGATTATGGCTTCCACAGAGAAGCCTTTGTTGATTTCCCTAATTAAATCAAATCTCCTTATTATCTTTTTTCATGAAACATATTCTTCTCTGTCTCTCTTCAGTTTCGTAGCATTCAGAATAGTCTAATTTTATATATGTATTTTGTAGCATAGGAAGCATGTCTATTTGTGCTGACCACTGTATATTCTGCATGTTTATAGCATATGTAATAGATACTCAATAAATAAATGAACAATTGACTAATCATATAAAAGTTTATAATTATTCCAACATGAGAAGATTGGCTTCTCAAGTAAGGAACATCCCAGGGGAGTAGCACACTTGTGACTCTCATTTGGCATTCCAGGTCACTGATTAATAATAAACTTCTTTTCCCTTCCTCTATTTAGAACCAGTTGAGAAGCAGACACAAGAGAGAGACTGATGGAGATAAAAATATCAACTTAATTACCAATAAAGCTGAATTGGAGAGCCATCCTTGACTAATGGGCACAACTGGGTTTCCTAATACCTCTCCTTGGATTTGAACTTGCCCGTCCCAACTGCTGGCCTCACCTATATAGGGGCAGATCAAGACCCATGAAATTTTACTGCATGGATTAGCAGAGGTCAAGTTGCTCCACTAGAAACAGAGAAGACAGAAAGAGGCTGGATGGAGTATGCCCAGAATCTCCTCCCAAAATTACCTATGAGGTAACTCACTCTGTTCGTGTAGAGAAATGAGTAAGGGTGGAAAGAAAGGCCAGAAACCCTCTCTAGGAAATGTGAGGCCAAAGCAATGGATGTTTTCCTAACAAATAGTAAAATAAAATTAATAGGTAAATATTGGTGGGATTCTATTTAGAGGTGAAAATTTGGTTCTTTTAAAAAATTGAGCTAAAGTAACTTTTTATCCAATTATTGGGATTAATGCAGTCTTTCTGCTATTTCTTTTTATTTCCTTTGCTCACCTAACATATCATTTAATTGATTGTTATGGCTATTAATTAGTGTTTTTACATTTTTCATTGAAAGGATTTATTTATCTTGTAAATGGAGTATACCTAGATGCAAATGGACATGATGTTACTTTCGTGAAGATTTCTTTTTTCTTTGAAATGTCACCATATCTTCTCCTATATGGGTTCAAAGCATCTTAAGATATGTGATGTTCATTCATTATTCAAGGCTCTAGAAATACAAAGTTGGTTGTACAAGTTAGAAATGCTTTTAGCTGCAAGTAAAAGAATATCTAACTAGCAATGGCTTATGTATTAAAGACATTTAATTATCTCACATACAGAAAGTTGAGAGGTAGTTGCATGTTGATATAATGGTTCTACAAAGACATCAAGCATCCACGTTCTTCCTGTCCTTCTGTTTATCATAACCAATATGTTAACTTTTCATTCCTAAGAGTGTTGCCTCATGGCTGCAAAACGATTGATAGAGGCCCCAAAATAGATTCTAATCACAATCAAGGCAGGTAGAAGTGAAATGTTCAGCATCAATGAACTTTCTCCACAAACACTTCACCTTTTATCAGGAAACAAAGGCCTTCTCAGAAACCTCTGGCATACTTACCAGGACAATGTCATGTGGCCACTCCTGGCTGCAACAAGGGAAGCTAGGAAGTGGGAGCATGAGTGTTCCAGTTAGCTTCTACTTAAGATTAAACAACTCATGCTAGGCCCATTGTTTCACTGAATAAAATCAGAGTCCATCAGTAAGAAAGGAGGGATGGAATGGGCAACTTATTATGTCTACCATAGTGTGTCTGACTCAAACCCATCCCTGAAGTTGCTCATAATACTATGACAGGCATCATCAATTCTTCTGGGGGGAATAATAGGGAAAATGATAGAGTATAGCCCAGGAAATACAAGTAATAGGTCCATCTAGCATTTACCCAGTCATCACTAGCAGTGAAAATGTCTCAGGGCAATAAGGAGTATAGAATATCCTGGAGTAGGGCAGAGAGGCTGCTGAGGAGTAGGGCAGAGAGGCTGCTGAGGAAGGCAAGGCTGGCCAGAGGAGTCTAAATGGTTGAAGAAAGGTTGACAGGGAGAGCTAGAGAGGAAGAGTAGAGAACTCCAAGTCAAGAGATGCACAGAGGAGCAGAGGTGGCTTCAGGGCAGAGGAGCTGCTGTGTGGGAGGAACACGTTCACACTGGGGAATAAGGGGCAAAGAGGAAACGTGAGGGTGGAAGATGGGAACGCCTGGCTGAACTGTCGGAGACTGATTCATCAGGAAGAGAAGAGACACACACAGTTTTATGAGCAAAGCAATGACATAATGAAAGCAGCATTTTAGAAAGATTAATTTAGTTGCAGGGAGCAGAATAGATTAGAGAGGGAGAGACAAGCTGGGAGGCTATTGCAATGCCCACGGGGTGAAGGGGGCCTCGAAGTGAATATTATCACTAGCCATAAAAATGGGGCACAAGGTGGCTATAAGAGGCATTTTAACCTTTTTTCAGAGCATCCCCCAATAGGATACAATAGGGGTAACAGTGAAAAACATAAGCCGTTCTAGGGTAGCAACCCAACATTGAATTACCGTAGCCCCCATTTTGAGTGCTAACCTGAAAAAGAAAAGTTAATTTTAAATAAGGAAGGGAAGCATCAGGGGGTTTCACCAATAGTAATTTTTTAAATCTCAAATCATTGCTCTTCTAGTTAGTTACTCATGGCCTGGTTTCACAGAAATGGGCTGCGGGCATTCCAGGAAATGAAAAGCGATTATTGGAAGAGCCCGGGCTCCTCTGATTTCGCCACTCAGAGGGTGTCTGTGTTTCCCCCCAACAGGGAGGCATTTCTCATGGGGCCGAGGGGGAGGAAAAGGCCTTATCTGGGTATCCTGTGTGAATTTTATGAGGAATCAAAGCCTGACACCCTCACTCGTCTTGCTTTTCACTGTTCTTGGTGCCACCCCTGGAAAGGCCTAAGGAAGTACAGTCCTTGCAACCAAGATGCTAAGGGTCATTAATCCCCAAGATGAGACAGCAGAGCCACCATTCCCAGGAGACCCGCTGCCTGCCAGACACAGTTGGTCAGATGTCCTGTTACTTGCAGCTAAAAACATTCCCAACACAAGAGCCTTTGCCCTCCTTCTCTTGCTGAATTCACTCCACAATTCTAGGGGACCTTGAGCAAAGAGGGCCTTCCTCAGAGATACTGTGATTGGGCGCATAAATGAATTAGTTACAGGTGCCTTTTGGTATTCCTATTATAGGGTGTTGGGTAAATCGTGGGCTCCGGAGCCAGACTGCTGCCTTCGTGTCATCACTCTGCCAATTACTCACTCAGTGACCTGGGGCTTCTTTACGCTGGACTCTTCTCATCTATGAAATAGTAATAGTTCATACTCACTCTATAGATAGGTTTTAAGAATTCAATGAGCTCATGACTGTGAAGTGCTTAGCTCAAGGCCTGGTACAGGGTTAGCACCCAATAAATGTTAAGCACTGTATTTTTTCACAGATGAGGAAACAGTAGTCCAAAAAGATGAGCAAATGGGCCCAAGGTCACACGGATAAATGCTGTGCATGCTTATTTTCATGCACACGTCTTTTCCAAGTAGTGTGTCAACAAGTCAGCAAATATTTATTAAGTGACCATGAGGTGCAGAGCTCTGAACTAAACACTCAGAATTTATGCTCAAGGATGGGTACAGTTCCTGCCTTAATGGAATTTACTATCTGTCAAGGATGTTTAGTTTTTCATGGTCAGCCGACTGCACACAAGGCTGGCCTTGCTGATAAAAGAGACAGAAGCCACCGTGGTGCTGTTTGAAGGGTCTTAGGAAGGCCACAACCACATCCGTCAATCGGCAATGGGATAAACTCAACACAACAGCTCTGTAGTGGCCTGAGTTTTGTCTTCCTAGAGAATGGATTCATCCAGATCACCCCATCTTTCTCCGTCTTCCTTTGCAATTTCTCTGCAGATAAAATAGTTCCTCCTTAGGCCTTTAACTAATGCCTGAAATGTCTTCGACCAGAACTGGATAAGAAGCATCACTGCTTAACACCTGATAATCTTTAAAAATGCAAATATCCCCAGGAAAGAAAAGGGCTGTTGTCAATGACATGTATTTTTAACAAATAAATATATGTGTGTATATATATATATATATATATATATAACCATATATATGTATGCATATATATCTATATATACACATATATAGCCTTTATGTCAAGTGAATTTCTTTAAGAGAAGAGTACCATTCTCTCTTAGAAAGCTGGTCCTTAGGGCAAAGGGAGCACCAACATGGAGCTAAAGGAGAAAGCAAGAGGGGATAAGGGAACTGGAGCCTCCTCTCTGTTTACAAGCCTTCCTCTTTGCTCTGCAGTCGCTGCCATGCTCTGTCCCTGGAGTCACACGCCATACCAGCCTAGAGGCAGAGTGGGACACAGTCTTCCCAGGAGCCCTCTGCCCTATAAACCCTGAAAACAAGCACAGGCCCCCTTCATTTGAAAAACTCTTCTGCAAATCACTCACTAGAAATGGGGGAATCAAAACCTACACCCTATAGGGACATTATGAAAGTCTCAGAATTTTACAAAATTCTCATAGGCAGTGGATCCCATTCCCTCTCTGTTGTGATTTCTGGAGGGCGAGCTCACCGAGTAAACCCTCACTTTCTGATCTTCCTTTTGAGCAAGACCCAAGTCCCTCTTCCAGGACAGCCCCTCATTCAAGAAGCCAATGTAGACTGGAGTCAGGCGAAGGCAACACCATCTTGTGATCCCAGGAAAAATTTGCCTTCTGGGTATCTGCAAAATGATGGCTCTTAAACACGAGGCCACTGTTTTTCGTAGAGCCTGCGTCCCCCTGGACATTTCCTCAATGGATACACAGGCAGGAAGTGCCACGTCCTGGCTGGCTGGCTCCGGAGCCCACACTTGTAACCCTGATAAGTTAATTCACGTTGAGCTCTCCATGACTAGGGATGACTTTTTAAATATTTCCCCTCCCAAAAGAAATTGCATATTTTAGCACAATTCTTTAACATTTTTAAAAAAATTCTCTAATGACTGACTTTCCATAATGTGGGCTAGTTCGAGGGAAAGGTTTGTGTAGGCCAACATAGTGGCATGACTGGCGATCTATTCCACTATGCCAAGACGCGCTCTCGTAGGTGAAATAAAATGCCTGCCAGGTGCCTTCTAGGTGGATTTTACTAAAGGGCAGCCCACCAAACAGCCTGACTGGAGGAAAAGAGGCACAGTGGAGACATAGGAGAAGCACCTGTTCCCACCTTTGGGGAAGCAATCACCTGGTTGGATGCCGAAAAGTGATACATGCCAGCCCTTCCTGTCAATGGCTATGCCATGGCTGGAAACATGCATTTCCACTGAGCCTGGCTCCAGGTTGCCAAGAGCCTGCACCTGACAAGCAACCAGGGGGAATCCATCCGATAGACAGAGAGAGGGAGTGAGTCTGTGTTGA